AAATGACCAATGATAGCACATTCTGGAGTTAAGAAGTTCTCCCATTATATTAAATGGAAAGGGCAGAGTAGGAAATGTAATCCAATATCAGTTGATTTTGTCTTTTTGAGATAAGGTCTCATTGTGTAGTACAGGCTTGTCTTGAACTCCTGGCTATCCTTCTGCCTCAGCCTCTTGAGTGCTGGGATTACCAGTAGCTCTAGGTCAGTATAGTTTTTTTTTTTTTTTTTAACTTTAGTTTCAAGAGTATGTGCAAGTCTTAGGTCTTGGAGACCTAAGTTTTAGTAATGAGCAACTGGGAAACTCTGTGAAACTGTCTTATTGACACATTTTTTAGCCACACAAGCCATCAGCTATCTAAGATTTACCAAATTAATGACAAGAAATAGAAGATTGAGTAAGAAACCTTTTTTTCCTGCTTTTTGTTTGTTTCCCTTAGTAAATTTTTTAAAATTTATTTATTTATTTTAATTGTGTGTGTGGCCAGCTCAGCCCACCCGGGGGCGGGCCCGGCTGGCATGTGGTGCTGGGGGATTGAACCACGGTCCCTGTGCTTTGCTAAGCTTTGCTAAGCTTGTTCTAAGTAGGTGCTTTAGACCACTGAGCCATCTCACCAGCCTCACCCTTAGTAAATTTAAAATGTTCATAGTTAAAAAATTTACTCGAGATATTTGTATTGATGGAAGTGACTCATGTAATTAAAAATACAAAAAAATTTGGATGATACACACTGACACCCATGTGTATGTGTATGTTTTTTCATTTAATAGGTACTATAATTCAGAAGGTAAGCTAAATATTAGGAAAATTAAGCATCTATCATATATATTACAAATATTTAAGGTAATCATTAGTTCTGTCATTTTGCTTTGCTGAAAATTAAGTGAACAGTGTTAATTCCAGTTTGTGGTTTCTAATAGTATACCATATCTATGTGAGGATTTTTTTTTTTCAAATGTATTTGATACAGGGTCTCATTATGCAGCTAGGACTCATAGTGATCCTCCTGTTTTCAGCTTCTCCACCACTGGGATTACAGGTACGCACCACTACGCCCGGTCTCAGTGGCCAGCTTAGCAAGGCATGTGGTGCCAGGGATCGAACCCTGGTCCCTATGCTTGCCTAGGCAGGGGCTTAGTCCACTGAGCTATCTCGCTGGCCTTATGTGAGGATTTTGATAACATGTAAACTTATTTTTCTAGATTACCTCAGTGTCCTTATAACAGCAGATGTTTTGCTTTATTGAACAAATGAGGATGAGTATAGTTTCTAGTGAATATTTTTAAATAAATAAGACAGTATCAGCACACATGTTTTAAGAGTATATCTAAAATAGTTTCAAGGGGGCTGGGGAGATGGCTCAGTAGAATAAGCGCTTCCCTGACAAGTGCAAGGGCCTGAGTTCAATCCCTGGTTCCGCAAAAAAACAAAACAAACAAACAAAAAAAATAAAATAGTTTCTTCCTCAGAAAACAAAGAGGATGAAGATTTCTGGTAAATTGTTTCATAGCAGTGGAATTTGTACATTAGCATTCTGCACACTTGGGAGTTGAAAAAAAATGGAAGAGTTCCTTGCCAAAAGAGGAGGGCAAAAGATAATAAGCATAGTTTATCTTTGTGAGTTCTTGGAAACTGAGTTAAAATACATAGTTGTCCTCTATGAATTATGATATATTCTTTAGAAACCATATTTTGAAATTGTAGAAGATAATGTAGTAACCTCTCAGCTGTTTAGTAGTTGCTTGTCTTGTACAGATGTTTCCAGGCATAGCGTAGGCCTTTAAACTGAAGAGTTGAATTCCTTTCTTTTGATACTTTTAGGTTGAGACAGGTTCTTACTGTGTAGTTCAGGCTGGCCTTGAACTCACTATGTAACCCAGGCTGGTGTCAAACTTGTTTCTTGGGTACTGGGATTACAAGTACACACATGCTTGCAAGTGGGCACTGTGTACACTGACATGTACACTGTGGGTGTTTGCACACACATACAAACATACTGCTTCTGTTCCTTTGTGTACTTAAACTCCCTGTATCTACAACTGACCCTTGCCTGCTACCAGACTGTCCAGTTCATTATACTCTTCAGTAGCACTGCTTGGGTCTTCAGTTTAAGAGAACGGATTCTTTTTTTCCCCTCGATCATGATTTTTTTTTTTTTTTTTTCCAATCTACTTCATCTTCACCATGTATATGCTGGGTATCCTGTTGGGAGCTATGAGATGGCATTTGTTTCTTCAGAGATGTGTGCTGCATTGTTTCAAAGAAAAGTACATTCTGATCTAGTTAGCTGCAAATGGATATTAGTAGATACACGCAGTGCCCAATTCCACATTTAAGATTAGAAGAAAGAGAGTAAAGTTACTGCACTCATTATGAGATGTGAGTTCTGTATACTTGGTTATTGCAAACAAGTCAGAATCACCCCCAAGAGTATGGATTAGCTGCTATGAGACTATGTTTTAAATTCTGAATATAGTAAAACTTTAAAAATGTTTTAAAGCCAGGTGGCACATTTATAACCCTGGTACACAGGGGGCTGAGATGAGAAGATCACCATGAATTCGAGGCCAGCCTGCAAAGTATGGCAAGATCCTATCTCAAAAGACCAAAAAAAAAAAAAAAAAAATAAGTAAATAAGCACATTTTAAAAAGTTCTGAACAAGTATCTCATTACTTTGAAAAGTCATAACTCTTTTGGATGTCTGTGAAATCTGTCATATCTTTTAATAGAATACTCAGATGTGAACCTCATTCAAAAAGGAAAATGTGGTATGCCAGTGGGACCTGTCAGGAAAATCAAGTGTTTTCTCTTAGAAAGTAGAGTGAAATAACTTTTTTCTTCCTTACACTGTGGACCTGCTTGGGTATTATGAAGAAAGTTCGTAGATGAACAGGAACATATGTGTTCATTCTTTCTTCAGAATGCCTACTCTGTTGCATTGAGAGAAAGCTGCAAAGGTCAACCTTAAGTGACCTGGACCTGTTTTTGAAAATTGATTTAACAAATATCATTGGCATATAAGCTTTAAAGAGAGTGACTGTAAATATTTTATTCTGGAAATCATGGTCATGAAGACTCCTTTTTCCTCCTACCCCTTAATTGTTATGAGGAATCCTGAGCTAAACTTAGAATGGGAAGTTAGGGCTGGCCAGATAGCTTAGCAGACTAAAGTGCCAGCTTAGGCAGACACAGGGGCAACGGGTTCAATCCCCAGCCTGCTATGTCAGCTCTGCACCCGGGGCGTGCTGAGACAGCAAATGAGACTGGGCATGGTGGCACTCCCTGTATTCCCAGCATTTGGGAGGCTGAAAAACAGGAGAATCATTACAAGTCAGATCTGTGTAGTGAGACCCTGTGGACCATGTACTAAATACATAAAAAAGAATGGAAAGATAAGATGGAAATCTTTAAAACAAGCATTTACTTTGAAGTCTCTTGTATTTCGTTTATCACAATAGTAGTGTTAAAGGTGATCAAGGATGTGTGTGTGTGTGTGTGCGTGCGTTTGTGTGGTGATAGTAGCTAAGTAGTTAGATTAATCTGCATTTTTATTATAGTTCTTTTTTTTTTTTAATTATTTATTTATTTTGTGTGTGTGGCCAGCTCAGCCCACCAGGGGGCGGGGCTGGCTGGCTGGCATGTGGTGCTGGGGATTGAACCAAGGTCCCTGTGCTTTGTTTAGCTTAGCTTGTTCTAAGTAGGTGCTTTAGACCACTGCGCCATCTCACCAGCCCCTTTATTATAGTTCTTATTGTTGAAATTTTTGTGGAAAAACTTGGGAGTAAAAATGGAAAATTCTAACCTAGATCAAAGCTGGGGCAGAGGCAGGTAGTGTGAATATTTGTGAAGCAAAAGTGACTTGAAAAATAGGATCTACCTCAAGCATTCACATTTGAAATACATAGTGCGTCCCTGGCCAGGGCGCCAATTTTCAATCGTAGTTTCCAAATCTGCTACTTTCACCTCACTAACAGTGTGTTTATGGCTCCTGGGACAATGATCAACAAATATTCAGTAAATTTTTGTACAGTGAGTACACTTTTGAAAATACCAGGCTTTAAGACATTCTATGGATGACCAACAGGCCATGTACTTACCAGTCTCTTAATTTATAAATGGAAAGAATGACTGGCTATACACGGGAGTATTTTTATTTTGAAACAATCTTAGTATTACAAATTTGTCATCCTGAATCTCTTGTGAGATTTCTCAAGTCTGAAAAATCTTAACTGTACTTGAGAAATTCCTTAGCAAGTGCTTTACATTAATTAACCCACACGTGAAATCAGCTCCCTAGCATTTCACAACCGATAAGGTGCTAAAGTGGTTGTTATTTTTGTTCATTTTTTGGTTAGGAAGACCTGGACTTTGAGGAAACAAGATAGAAATAGTTGACATAATAATTCAACAGATCGCCCAGTGAATGGATATCTAAGTCTGAAATTATTTATAGGGAAAGACAGATTATGATCTGTGCTTATGTTCACAGCAGAAAAGTTGTGTGTTCCAGCTAAAACATTTCCGTATTTGGAGCTGACCAGATTTGGTTTGCTAGGAGGTGTACAATTTCCCTTTTATGGCCCCAGAGTCTCCAGTGCTCTTTTCTTTCTCTTTGAGTTGGTAGCTCTACACTCTTTCAAAGAGTCATTTTCTCTTCTGTCTTTTGTTCCTGCTCCCTTGACTCCCATGTGTTCTCCTGTGTTTGTTCTCTGTCCCCTTTTTGTACTCTCCAGCTCCCTTCTCATTTTCTTTCCCTTATTACTTGCAACTTGAACAAAGGAATTTGCATTCTGCTTGCAAAGGAATAATAATAATGTAAATATTAAATAAGGTCAATTTTGAGTTACAGAGCAGATCAAGTAAGAAGTAGGCTGGCCAACAAGGGTCAGTCAGGAGAACAATGGTATGAAAATAGCATAAATGTTCAATCCTAGGAGGTTGTCTAGAGTTAAAAGAGCTGACCCAGCATAAGTAATATTTCTCTCTCAAAATAGAGCTTATCCTCTGGGTACTTAATGTAGGCTATAGTCTTGCATTGACTGTATAGAAAGAGAAGGCAGACTAAGCCTGCATATGTACACCTCAGACCATGTATATACCTGGTTCTTTATTGTGGATGGAGCAGGAATGGGCATAGAATTGGGAATTGGTATAGGGGAGAAAAGGAGCTTCTGGCCAGCCCAGAAAGATATTAATTCTTGAGGAATACTGTAAACAAACCTAGACATTGGTCAACGTCTTATAACAAAATATCACATAGGAGGTAATTAATTTTAAAGGTTTCTTTTTTAAAAAATTTGATACAGGCTCTCGCTATGCAGTTGAAAATCATAGTGATCCTCCTGTCTCAGCCTCCCCAGCTCTGGGATTATAGGCATGCTCCATCACGCCCAGTTTCGTGGCTGGCATGGAAAACCCAGGGTTCCAGGGTTGGCACAGCATGTGGTACCAGGTATCGAACTCATGTCCCTGCTCTTGGACTGAAAAACTGTCTCCCCAGCCCAAAGGATTTATTTCTTACAGTCCTAGAGGCTAAGAAATTCTTGGTTGAAAGACTACATATGGTAAGGTTTTTATTTCTTTTTGTATCATAATATGGTAGGAGGTATCACATGGTCATATAAGAATGTAATAGAGGGCCAAATTTGATTTCATAACAAAGCCACTCCCCAAATAACATTAATTCATTCATAAAGACAGCATTACTAAGTAATTCAGGAGCACTGAGCTGTTGTGACTATCCATTTGGCCCCACCTCCCAACACTGTTGCATTGGGACACATGCAAACCTTAGCAGTAGTTCAGAGGAAAACATTAGGAATGGCTCCTTTCAGTAGTTTGTCTCCACACCCAAAACCAATATTTAAAAAGTACAGGCAGCTAATTTGTTAAATATACTTTTGGTATAAACATAATTTAGTAACTTATTACAATAAAGAACTTCCTGCTTGAAATTGTTGGAAATTTGCTCACAGTGTATGCAAGTTTTCTATTAGTTTTAAATAAGAGAACACTATGAAGGAACAGATGAGGTATATTGAAAGCCCCAATTTTTCATAGAACTTGAAAATGTAAACTACCACTTTTGCTTTTTTTCCCTCTTTTGGAGACAGTATCTTGCTGTATATAGTTCAGACTGGCCTTGAACTAGCTGTTTAGATCACAGTGGCACTGAGTTGGAAGTCCTGCTGCCTCAGCTTCCCAAGTGGAATTATCACTTTGTAAAAGTGTTAACATGATTCATAAGAAACATCGTTGTTTTTTTTGAGCAAGTGATAGTAACCTTTACCACTTTATCTTTGTGAGAGCATTCTCATGGGAAAAATAATTTCATTAAAATGAGGGAATTAACCACTGCTTTAGCTATTTGAACTTGTTCTCTCTTCTTTCTTTCTTTCTTTCTTTCTTTCTTTCTTTCTTTCTTTCTTTGTATTTTGATGAGGGTCTGCATAGTCTTACTACATAGATCGGACTAATAGTGATCCACCTGTGTTCAGCCTCCCAAGTGCTAGGTTGCGTGTGCCACCATGCCCAGTCTCAATTGCCATCTCAGCACCAGGCGTGGGGCCAGCACAGCACACTGGGGATCGAACCCCGGTCCCTACATCTGCCTAAGCAAGTGCTTTAATTCGCTGAGCTATCTGGCTGGTCTGCCTGTGCTCATTCTTAACAGATTACTTTCTATTACTATAGTGATTCAAGCTTGTAATTTGACCATGTCTCAAGAGTATATGTCTGCTACTTTAAAGATTGGCCAACATAAAAGTTGTATCCTCAAATATTCATTTTGCATGTCTACTTTATTGTGGAAATGGGTTGGCATTTTCTTCATTGCTTGGTTACTTGTAATTTTTCACAGATTTTGGGTTTAATTAATCTCTAGAGCTTTTAACACAGATTTTCCTGGTTTATTTAGCCTTACAGTTTTCATTATATCCTCTGGTTGGATTATTGTATTTTATCCTCAGGATTCAATAATTTTGATTTGCTTAGAAATAGTTTACAGGTTAATGAGTAATTTTTTCTGAAACATAAAATAAATTTCCAAATTAGAGGTAGTTTACTTGATGGGAAAAGTGAATAGATATTACTGGTAGGTTAGAGGAAAAGAGGAACAAGTCTGTTTTGAGGGAAGGCAAGGAAGAAGTGATTTGCATATGGCGTCCTTATGTATTTGTGAGACTCTTCTCATTATGATCAGTGTATTATCAGAAGTAGTACCTGTGACTTTATGAGCCTCAACTTTCCCTTAAAGATTAAAAATAACCTAATAATTAAATGTTGACTCGGTTAATGAGATTTAAATGAGCAATGTAAGAAGATATATTTTGTCTGTTGGTATTTCTTGTTTACTATATGAGGACATATAGAAAGCTATGGGTGTAAGTGGTGATGAAAGTTTCACTTAACTATGGAATCAGGAAATGACAGATTTTTGGAAAGGTAGTCAACGGCATTTGTCACTGAGTTGCTTGTGGTGGAAGTAAGAATGAGGAGAAAGGTACAGAATATTGGCGCTGTAGAGAAGAAGGGCAGACTGTGTTTTAAGGTACATGCATGTACAGAAGTGGTGACAGAAGAGTATTAAGAAATTGCTGCTGTGGAGCTCATCTGTAAGAAAAAAAAAACTTCAAATTTAATTTAGAGCAGATAACTAGACAGTAAACTAGTAAATTAACTGTAACATAAGTTTTTGTGGTTTGCGTATTTACATTTATAACATAATTAAGTACCAAGTAAATACATAATATGAATGAGACAACAAAAGTTAAGTTCACATCTGCTGGAGGCCTTATCCTTGTCTTCTTCAGTGCCTCCCACAGTTACCATACTGCCCATTCATTGTTCAATGTGCCTCTCACTGAAACAGAGAACTTCGAGGAAGAACACATGTAGATGGCCAAGTGCAGAGAAGGGCAAGCAGATCTTGGATGTGCCTCCCTTCAGGTAGTGTTTGGGGATATTTATGAAATAAAGCAGAAAGATATTTGAAGCATAGAGGAAAGGAATTGGAAATGTAGGGATTGGTGCTTTGCATATGCATAATCTTTATAGGCTTCATGTGCAGATAATGGGGGCATTCACGTGATCTGGATGTAGGAATTTTGGCTACCCAGTGTCAAGAAGTTACTCACCCAGTACCTTTGAAGGCCTAGGTGAGGAGCTGTGGTTTCATCAGAATTGGTCTTCATAACCTATGCAACCCTTACCATGACTCACACATTAGAGGTGTTATCTACAGCAAAGCTAGTGAGAGAACAGTGACACTTGCTGAGCTGTGTGGCTTCTGGCATTAGTGATTTTTGAAGGCAACTATGAGCAAGTAACTAAAGGTTTGCTGTCAGTTTCATTTAGACCCTTAAAGCTTTTTCTCGTGTTTTGCCAGCATAAGAAACTGATGCTCTGCTTGTAATCACTGTTGGGTGATCTGGCCAACCTCAGTTCCAAACATTTTGCTTGTATGTGCTGAGCCAAAGGCTTTGATGGATATGGAAGCATTAGGCTGTAGATAAATAGCATTCAAGCTTGTAGTCAGATCTTAAGCCATCATCAGCACCAGTGCCCCTTTGTGGTCTGTTTCCCTCTCAGAGCCCCATAGCCTTTGAAAGGCTAGAGTGAACAGAAACTAGTTCCTTGGTCTGCTCTTTTGTTCCAAGCAGTGTATGAAGGCATGTTGACAGTTTAATGGCTCAGATACATTTTGGCAGAAAGCCATTCTTTAAGCTTTGAATTGTGGTAAGACCACTTCTTGAGTGGTTTTGGCTTTACCACAAATGTAAGTTTGTTCATTAGTAGTATGCAATATGATAATAGAAAGTAAGTTACAGTTTAAAAGAAAGGGATTATTTTTGGGATCAACCAAAAAGTAATTTTGTTGATCATGTGATTATATACATGAAATGGTTTGGAAGTTTTTTTCCTGTTCTGAACATACGAATTTTGATTCTCAGTTTTACTTTACTATTTTCTCTTTAACTCGTGTAGGATATTCATAGTGTCCTCTTTTACTTGTTCGGGCATTGCCATCTTTTGTTTGTTTGTTTTCCTCTCTTGGGGATAGACTTGAAATAGCTTGACTTCACTAGGGTCTTTGCTTTGGGCATTAGACCTTATTTTAGCTCTCTCCTTGGTAAGTGTCAATCTGTGGGTTATTGTTTGAAGGAAGTTTGATTGAAAAGGCAGATCCACTAGGGAATTCAAATACAGATGTTTCTCAGCTAACAAGGTGGCAGTTTCTGGTCAACCCCCTGAAAGTTGAAAATCAGTCAGAATTACATTTTATGTATCGAGCCTACATAACATTATAGCTTGGCAGGACAGTGTTGGTTGTTTAGCTTCACGATCACAGTGCTGGATGGCAGCTGTGGCCACTTGGCTAGCACCTAAAGAAGACATTGTAGCACATACTACTAGACAGAGCAAACTTAGAAAATCTGAGCTATGGTTTCTACTGAATGCAGATAACTTTTGTGCCATCGTAGACTTGAAAAATTCTCATTGAGACCACTGTGAGTCAGGAACCATCTGTTCAGAATAACACACTAGCAAGAATTTTGATTGATTACAAAATTGATAGATCTATTATAGATTATGGTTGGGCTAGTACAGAGTCTGCATAATTTCTTCCAACAGAAAAAAGAGAAATGTGAAAACTTCATTAAATTCAAGTCTGTGTACATCAGATCAGTATTCCTTTTTAGTTTAGAAAAATGTACTTTGGAGAATTGTAATTATTCATGCTGAACCCTAAAGTTAGTCAGGAGACTCTCATCTCTATGCAGGGAAAGCACAAGTGTATTTTGGAAAGGTACTAACAAATTTATGATATGCCTACATCCATGTAATAGTGAAGGTATGGCTCCTATAACAAATGTCTTTAGCTTTCCTGATTTCTGTGTATTTATAGCATTAGAAAACATTTTCATTTTCTAGATGTAAAAGAAATTTACTACTTACCCTTACCCTTTAATCAGTACTTGAAGAATTGGGAGCCAATGGAAGATTTCCCTTCACATTTTTTGTTGACCCTCTTGGAACAAACCAAATGTAAGAGTATTACAGAAAGTTTACTTTATAATCCTGGCACACAGATTAATATATGCCACCCTCTTCTGGTCAACCCACTGTATT